CATGCAGATACAAGCCTGAATCAATTTCATAATTATCTTAATATGTTTTCATACTCCATCTATAGTATTCATAATTTGATACAACAAAAGGTATACGAAAAACATTAAAATTTCATAAACACATCGTATGAATTATTTTGGTTCAGCTTACGGCAAAAAATCATACGATGATCGTATGAAATTTATTTAGACAGTGCCATTCAAAACAACAACAAAACACAAGATGGCGGATCCAGCTTCAAGACGTGGCACAAGGTTCCGTAAACCTGTAAGTAAATTTAATTCGTATTGTTTCATTGTAGTTTACAACTTTATTTACGTTTGTAGACAACTACTGCTGCTTCTGCTTTATCGATTTCAATAGCACGTATCTTCCGACCGGATCGCGTAAGTGTCAGATTTATTTTTTTGTTTTTGTTTTGATAATTTAATGCAACAGTAAAATTTTTTTAACAGGAATCGGACACGAGTACAAGCAAAACTACTCGCAAAATCGAAAGTATAAAGTTCTCAGTTGGTTCATTATTTTTACAATACCGAAGGTGATCCAGCCCCGAGCTAAAAGCCTCCCTAATAAAGAAAACCTAACCTAACTTTACAAAAATTGGAACCACCATCAATATCCAAATCAGCTTTTCTTCCTGCCACAGCTTCAATAATTCAACTGGAATCTTTTATTCCAGCTGTGTTGAAAGCAACAGGGTTGACCGCAAATGACGCTAAAGTGCTGCAAAAAAGAAACACACTGAAGTCCTTGGAAAATGTAGGGCAAAACAAACAACAAAATTTCTAAAAAAAAAACTAATCGGTTTCATTTTCAATCGTCAGCTACCACAAATTGACGTACTTGAAAACCGTTTAAGTAAAGCTGCTACTCCAGCTAGCAAAACTGTATCTATTGCTGCAGCTCCACCTTTTACAATAGCATCAGAGTCGACGAGTACAAGTAGCACATGTTGTCACATAAAAGTTGCTGTCACTATTTTGTGACCAAATTATGTGTCGTAAAGTAATTACAGTAGCCATTAAGGCAACAGCAATGCAACCAAACAAGCGCAAGATGTGAGTTGATATGCAACAAATTCAATTTTACAAAACTAGTTACACAGTAGTGACAAAATAACAATATTGGATTACATATACAAATAAGTTAACTTGTAACGTTAAATAACTTTAGTTTAATTTCGACGATGAAAATTGTTTTACAGAGTACTTTTATTGCATAAACATTTTGAGGCGTTTATAAAATTATAAAATCATTAGAGATATTTGTAACGAAAACACGAACCAGAGAAAAAAAATATATACCGTTTCATATTTACGGTGAAGTTGAGAGTTTTAAATTGATAAAATAAATGCGCCATCTTATATTTCAATTGATTTATTACCATATTTTTGATCATATATGATTCGACGAAAAAAATCTTCTGTGTACGCTCAGTTCAAGAGTAACACTTCTAACAAAAAGTTTCATGATATGAAACATTACTTGAGATTATATTGAAAACTCGTTTCTATTAATTTGTCCTTAAAGCTCAGCATTCACTATTGCATCACCATTAATTAAATATTTTACCATTTGGATAAAAAACAGGAACAAACTATTAGATTACGATTGGTGAAACATTTTTGAGCGGCAGTATAGCTTTCATTTGTTCAGATCAAAGAGATTGCATTTGTGTTACCATCTGGAGACATGCGACTATTAGGGTCACGCTGAAACGAAAATGAAACTGTAATGCGGCATACAATAGTTGCCAAGCTACAAATTCGTAAATTTTCGATCGGTATTGTGTGGCAACTCAGTTACAGTTCAACCAATTGATAACATTAGATCGACACAAAAAGGTTACACTGTGTCATCATTGAGACCAGATAAGTCGCATTTTATCTCAACATCGTGACAATCTGACTATGAAGTTACCAATGACCGTTGTGTCACATTAATGTGTCCTATTACTTAGAAAGTCATGAGGTAACTTCATGTTGACTTGATATATAACTGCATATATTTCATGACTACTTTTATGTAATAATTGTGTAACATGTTTCTCTTTATCTCTTATAAAAAGATGTTACAGGTGCTACTTGGGTAGTTACTAGATTGACGCAAAATTTGAAATTTTTGCTCCACAGTGCTCAAACGGTTCCGAATTGGGCCCTCATTAGCCTCCCAAAATTTGAACTCATTTAGTGAGAAACTGACTTGGCACAAACCATTTGAAGTTTATATGGGAATTACTATGAAGAAACTATAATTTCGGTTCATATCTATCTCAAAATTCATCAGTTCCCTCTACTTTAGAAAATGATAGCTGAGTTTGTTGAAAATTTTCTCATCTACAACTTTGTTGAAGACCACTTTTCGATCAAATGTAAGGAGCAAAAATTATTAATCTTTCAAGTCACTGATGTCTTATGATTATGCTCAATCAGCTGTTCAGCAGGCAACATTGGTGTTTATGGTGCGTAGAATAGAGGACAAAAATCATGGCTACTATGTCACACTCCAGAATACAGTGTTGCCCACAAGACAGTTGCTTAATCTTGTCATAAGATTATCAATCTCTTAAACAATTAATAACTATTTAATTTGACGTTTGGCTGAAAAACTATTTTCTGCAAAGTTGTAGCTGATAAAAATTCCCATAAGATTAGCAATAGAATTTGTTCACAGTACAATATTTAAAAAGGCTAGAAGACAATGAACAAAATGTTTTGTTTCCCCATAGTAATTTCCATACAAACTTCACATAGTTTGTGCCAAGTCAGTTTCTCACTAAAAGAGTTCAAGTTTTGGGAGGCTAATCAGGGCCCAATTTGAAACCGTTTGAGCACTGTGGAGCAAAAATTTCAAATTTTGCATCAGTCTAGTAGTTACCACAGTTACAGAAAACACGAGCTGCCTCGGAGTTTCACCATTCGTTTTAGCAACATCGACTGATCGAGTTGCTCCTCCGGTTGAACCAACATCGAAGGCTACTGTAACACCACTGTAACGCTACCACGCGATAACTATTGTCACTTCAATCACCATGTACAATAGGTCTCAATATAATAAATAATTGCTTGGTTTAACGGCTTTCTCAGTCTTAATATCACTCTAGAGACTACGATTTAATCTGCCCGACGCTTCGGTCATAGGTTTTAGTTCATGGTCCATGGCCGAAACGTCGGGCAGATTAAATCGTTGTCGTTAGAGTAAGATTAAGACTTAGAAAGCCGTTAAACTAAGCAAATCGCTCAAGTACTAGGCGGCATCATCACTAATATAGTAATTATTCAACTCAAACTATATTTTTCATTCATATCCTTTATGAGTTTCATACGAAATAACAAATGAAATTGTTCGTAATATCCAATGATAGCTATCGTTCGTTTATATTAAGATTCATAGTTATATGCATGAAAAATCATACGATGGCTGATTGACAAAAAATTGACAGTTCTTCATAGTTCGGTCGTATGAAATTCAACATAAAATCTTGTCGCAAAAAATCATGCGATATTTCTATGAAATTCGTTTGATTAATAATCTCAGTGCAGGGAAGTCGAGAAATTTTCCAACCCCGAAAAATTCCTAGACCGATTATACGCCTTGAGTTGTTACATTCAAAGTGTTTTTATGTTACTTCATAGGTAGTGATGAAAACGTCGCTAGAACTATTCCACAGCCGCAGTCAGTTTATGAGCAACAAGAGGGACGCACATTTTTGCCTGTGGACTTGGAGACATACTTCAAGTCCCCGCGTACATCGTACGGGCTAGGCAAAAATGTGCATCTATCTTGAAAAACTGTTACATTAATGGCCCTTCGCTCATTTTCAACTTCTATTCAATTTTCATACTGCCGTACTCTAACGGAACTATCCACCTACCCTCTTCTAAAGATCATTCTCTAGCTAATAAATCATCACACTAAAGCTTCATGTTAGCATTTCCAACCAACTCTGAAAATCGTTAACTTCGCGTATGAAGTAACATAAAAACACTTTGAATGTAAAATACATTTATTTTCCTTGAGCAATATTAGTTTATGTGCAATTCATTTAAAGGAGTGTGTATAAGTGAAAATTCGGGAAAAGTGTATGTTATCGCAGTAACCTAATTTGCCAACGTATAATTTTAGGTCTCTGGGCGGTAAAGGTTAACTTTTTATGTTCACCTTGCAACGTCGGTACACTGACTTGGATACAACTCACTAGACTACGGCAATGGTTCACTGGTACTGGATTATGGTTCGATGTAAAGAAATAACGCGTTGATTGACGGTTTGAAAGATGTATTTCACTTTTGGAGATAGTTTGTAAACTGATCTTATACTGCACTCCTGGTCCGTTTTTATATCATTTCTCTCCTCATGGGTTCATATGGAAGCCTTTGTGGCTTTTTAAGCTATTGTACAAATTTAAGTTGTTTTTCAACCTTCATCTGTCCCCTAATTTAAGCACAATTATAATCCATTTACATGTGCTCTTCTTCAACTGCCAATTTAATGCACACATCTAAACTTGTCTTCTTTCCTTTTCTAATAACTTGCATGCAAGTTTTGAGTGTTTGACCGGGTGTGAACTCATTGTTAACCCATGTAACTCAGTCGATATTCATCTTATTTTACTAATACTAAACTACTACTACTATTGTAGAGCATATATTGTTGCTGTCAACTCAGCAGAATCAAAACAAATCTAATTTTCTGCTTCTGCAGTCGCTTGGTAGTAAGACTAATTCTAGATAGATTTTTTAGTATTAAGTAATTAATCATTTTAATTCGTTTCAGGTTGAATGCCTATTGGTTGGCCGAAACATGCCGCCCACCAAAATTAATGGTTTTAATTTTCAGGTTTAACTGGCAACTTACTCAAGTTGTGAACGGACTGAACGATTTCACCGTTGGAGGTTTTCACAGTTGCTAGCCGTGGGTTTCCGTCTGGTGCTCCATGAAGATGTTGAATTCTGCCAGTGACCCATCGATTGACTGGCAATTTCTGTTGCCTTACCAGGACCAGATCACCTTCCTCCAGTGTGTTGGTCGTTCGATGCCATTTTCCCTTCAGTTGCAGTTCCGGAATGTACTCCTTGCTCCAACGGTCCCAAAAGTGTTGCCGGAGCTCGTTGACGTAACGAAACCTAACGTCGTATGGCTCGTCAGGACTTGGAAGATAATCCTGTTCGTTGATGGCTGTTAGCGGTCGTCCGATCAAAAAGTGCCCTGGTGTAAGGGGCTGCAGGTCATTCGGGTCGTTCGATGCTGGCGAAATGGGCCGCGAGTTCAAGATACTCTCGATTTCGGCGAGCAACGTTCCGAACTCTTCGAATGTGAGCCGAGCTTTCTGCGTCACAATATTAAGATGATGTTTGGCCGATTTGACTGCTGCCTCCCAAAGTCCTCCCATATGTGGCGAGCCGGGTGGGTTAAAATGCCACTGTGTACCACCCATCGCTAGGAAGTCCGCTACACGATTGTTGTGGTCGGATGAACTGATTTTCCGATACCAATATCGCATTTCGTTGTCTGCTCCCACAAAATTGGTGCCATTGTCGCTGTACATATGCCCACAGTGACCTCGTCTAGCCACAAATCGTCGCATGGCTGCCAAAAATGCTTTCGTGGAGAGCTTGGAGACCGCCTCGAGATGTACTGCTTTGGTCGCGAAGCAAACAAAAATTGCTATGTAGCCTTTGATTGTGGGTGTTCCTCTTGTGCGCTTTTCCACCAGTGTGATTGGCCCTGCGTAGTCCACTCCGCAGTGAAAGAAGGGCGGTGCTGGTGTGACTCTAGTTTCCGGAAGTTGCCCCATGATTTGTTGCAACATGCCACGATTTGGGGCGTTCTTGTGGCATGGGACACATTTCCAGATGGTGTTTCTGGCTAATTTCCTTCCATGTGGAACCCAGAACGTTTCTCTGACTGCGGACAGTAGCGAAGTCGCTCCGAGATGGTGGTTACGAAGGTGTTCGTGGTTGAATATTATGGTCGCTAATCTACTTTCTGCCGGGATGATCAGTGGGTGCTTTGCTGTGTATTCCAGGTTGGATCTGGCGAGCCGGCCGCCCACCCTGAGGAGATTACTTTCGACGAACGGGCTTAGCGGTAGCAGCTTGCTTCGGTCCGGCAACGGTTTGCATTTCTCTAGTGCTGAAATCTCTGCCGCATATGCTTGGTGTTGCGTGTAGCGAATGAGCAACCTTTTTGCTGCATTGATTTCGATGACGGATAACGGTCCGACAGTTCGTTGGGCTCGTTCCAGCTGGCAATTTTCACTGAATCGGATGATCCAAGCTGTCACCCTGAGAAGTTTCGTGTAGGACGAGTATTTGTGGAGTATATCCTCGATGACGTCCCTATATGTCATGAGGTATGCCAGGATGGGCTGTTGACGCCTGACTTCGGTGTTGATGACTTCTTCTTCTTTGCGTGTTGGATTCGGTATAGGTGCCTCCGTGGTAGTGCTAGGTTCCCAATCTGGTCCGTGCCACCACAGCTTCGACAAGGCAAGCACACACGGTGCTACCCCATGCGTGAGGAGATCCGCCGGGTTCTGTTTCGTGGGAACGTGTCTCCAATCCGAGGCCGGGATGATCGTATTGATGGTTGCTACCCGGTTGGAGACGTATATTTTCCACCGGGCTGGGTCTCCTGCAATCCAGGCTAGCGTCGTGGTTGAGTCGCTGAATGCCAGGGTTTGATGAATCGGAATCCGAAGGGTGGACTTCATGGCCTTGATTAGCTCCGCGAGCAAGGTTGCTGCACACAGCTTCAATCGAGGTAGCGACGGTCTGTTGATGGGCGCCACGCGCGATTTGGACCCAAGTAGGTGCGAACTGATATCACCGTTTTCGTCGATCGCTCGTAAGTATACAGCTGCTCCATATACTTCGAGTGAGGCGTCACAAAACCCGTGGAGATGATATTGTACAGGCTGTGGAACGCTTATACACCGCCGTGGGACCTTTATTTGCCAGACATTTCGTAGATGCACCAAGTATATACGCCACCGGTGGTTGAACTGATTTGGCAGCGGCTCAGACCAATCAGTTTGAATTTTCCACAACTCCTGCATCATCATTTTTGCAATCACCACTATTGGTCCGATGAGTCCAAGAGGGTCGAAGATCTTGGCGATGGTGGATAGTACTTCTCGCTTTGTGAAGCACTCCTTGATGGGATCATCGGATGCCTTGAAGGTGAAGAGATCTTCCCGATGTTGCCATTGGACGCCGAGTGTCTTGATGGTCTCCTGACTGTCTACCGTGTGAACTACGCTGACTGCTCTGTCTTCTGGCGGTATATCGTCTAGCACTTCCCTGTCGTTGGACGCCCACTTTCGGATCTCAAATCCTCCTCGCTTCATCATTTCAGTAATCTGCTGACGTTTTTGCTTGGCTTCCTCGCGTGTTGCCGCACCGGTGAGTAGATCATCAACATAGAAATCTTTGATTGCTTCCTTGGCCAGCGGGAATTCGGTGCCTTCGTCCTCTCCTAGCTGATTTAACGTTCTGGTTGCCAAGAAAGGAGCACAGGACATGCCAAACGTGACGGTGTTTAGCCCGTATTCCGCCATAGGTTGTCCGAATTCTTGCCATAGTATGCGGATTCGTTCACTGTCTTCCTCGGTCACCTTCACTTGAAGAAACATCTTCGTAAGGTCTGCGGTGAGTACGACCGGATACAATCGAAAGTTCATCAGGAGGTTATACAACGTATCCTGCACGATGGGTCCGGTCGCCAACAGGTCGTTGAGCGACAGTCCGTTCGACGATTTTTTTGCTGCATTGAACACCACTCGAAGCTTCGTAGTGGAGCTTTCAGCCTTGATGACGCCGTGATGCGCCAGATAAATGATCTTCGGGTGATTTGGATCGGGTGCAATTCTCGTGATGTGGTTGTTTTCCAGGAACTCTTCCACGTACTTGTGGTAGAGCACGTACTTTTCCGGATCCCGCTGCAGTTGCCGTTGCATTGCCGTAAACTGTGCCAACACGGAGTAGCCGGTTTCTCCTATCGCTGTAGGATCGCGGATGAACGGCAGTTTCACTATGTAGCGTCCGCTGGCATCGCGCACCGTAGTCTGAGTGTAGAGCTCTTCGCAGAACTGCTCCTCCTTCGTTAGATGCTGACTGGGCTTGAAATCTTCGATCTCCCAGAACTTAGAGACTAGCTGGCTCAACGAAGGTTCGTCCTCGGGGTCAACATGCGACACGAAGCACAGTGGAGCTTGTAATGCGGAGTTTTTTGACTCGTATAAACCAGCTACCACCCAGCCTAAAGCCGTTTCTTGTAGCACTGGCTTGGCAGGTCCCAGCGACATGCGATCGGAATGCAGAAGGTTGTAAAACACGCTGGCCCCAAGTAGTAGATCCACTTCGCCGGGAATGTTGAATCGATCGTCTGCTAGCGGCTTGCTGGGATGAAGTTCCCAGTCGGAAATGTCAGCGAATTGGTGTGGAATCGGATCATATATTTTTGGCAGCACTGCACAGTCTATACGGACCTCATAATCCGAAGTTCTCGATTGTATGTCGACTTCGATGGCCTCGGTGATCTTCGTTGTCAACCCAGAAATTCCTTTGAGCGGCAGGTTGATTCGGTGCGTTTTCAGTCCCAGCCTCTTTGACAGCTTGGCCGTGATGAAGTTGGCTTGTGACGCGGAATCTAACAATGCGCGGGCGCTGTGTTGCTGCCCACTGGAATCGACGAGATTGACTACTGCAGTTGCGAGGAATACCGACGTGAAGCAATCACCGTAGGAAAGTTGATTGATAACTCCGAACGAGAGCTGACTACCCTTCGCCGGAACGGAGTCCAACGACGGTCCTTCGTGGAGCAGAGTGTGATGACGTTGCTTGCACTTGCGACAATCCCCAGCGGTACAAGACGCTTTACCGTGGGATGCACACAAACAGTTCTTGCAAAGACCCAGCTGATTAACCAAACGGATTCGCTCGGCAACTGGGATTTCCTGGAACCTTTTGCAGTAGTATAGCCGGTGCGGAGCTTCGTTGCAGACAGAGCACTTGGATGGATTTTTAGCTTGTTCGTTGGTGGTGACGAAACTTGAACTTCGTGGTTGCGGTCTTATTACATGCCTCATAGTTGACTTTGGAGTCTGAGTTTGGGCGGTTTCCAGCGAATAAGTCCGTTGTTCGAGAAATTCTAAGAAATCCTCGAATTTGGGTGGATCCTGGTTCGTGGCGAACTTGTCTGACCACTGCTGTCTGGTTTCCGAATCCACCTTTGCCAGGAGAAGGTAGACTAGCCAACAGTCTCGGTCCTCTCGTTCAATAGCCTGCAAAGCTCGCTTGACATCGTCGGCGGTTTCGTGGAGCTTGCGTAGACCGGAAACTGACGGCACGGTGGTACTCGGAATCTCGCAGAACCGTTGGATATGGTGATTTACGATTTGGTCCTTCCGATCGAAGCGTTTCTTGAGAATGTCCAAGGCTCCTTCATACGCGTTGTCCTCGACCTTGATGTACTTTAGAAGGGCGGCTGCTCTTCCCGTTGTGTAGGTTTTCAGATAGAACAACCGTTGAGCGTTCGTCAGACGAGGATTGTTGTGTACGGAGCTGATGAACAAATCGTAGAATGAATTCCACTCCCCGTAGTCTCCCGAGAATGTGGGAAGTATTCCTTTCGGGAGGTGTAGCTCGGGGGGAACTAGCGTAGCAGTTGATCCTGCTGCGGGAATAATGCTCTGTCCGGGAACCAACGGTGGAGTTGGATTGTCTCGGATGGCCACCGTTCGTACGGTCTGGTTGATCGATGCCTTTAGCGAAAGGTAGCGCCTTTCCAGAGCCGCTTCCTCGTCGAGATGAGGCTCGATGGATTCGGTATCCGTGCACAGATCCAGAATACCGCTATGCACTTCACGGAAATCCTGCCAAAGTAGGTGCAGGTGGTCGAGTTCGGCATTGAGGTCGTCGATGGAGACCGCTCCGGCATCGAACTTGCTGACCCTATAAGCCGAGCGTTTCAGCTTCCCATCTACCGCAGATCGTCGTAGCTTCAGTTGGTCCATGGTGTACGAGGTGGACATCCTGTCTACAGCGCCAAATGTTATCGCAGTAACCTAATTTGCCAACGTATAATTTTAGGTCTCTGGGCGGTAAAGGTTAACTTTTTATGTTCACCTTGCAACGTCGGTACACTGACTTGGATACAACTCACTAGACTACGGCAATGGTTCACTGGTACTGGATTATGGTTCGATGTAAAGAAATAACGCGTTGATTGACGGTTTGAAAGATGTATTTCACTTTTGGAGATAGTTTGTAAACTGATCTTATACTGCACTCCTGGTCCGTTTTTATATCATTTCTCTCCTCATGGGTTCATATGGAAGCCTTTGTGGCTTTTTAAGCTATTGTACAAATTTAAGTTGTTTTTCAACCTTCATCTGTCCCCTAATTTAAGCACAATTATAATCCATTTACATGTGCTCTTCTTCAACTGCCAATTTAATGCACACATCTAAACTTGTCTTCTTTCCTTTTCTAATAACTTGCATGCAAGTTTTGAGTGTTTGACCGGGTGTGAACTCATTGTTAACCCATGTAACTCAGTCGATATTCATCTTATTTTACTAATACTAAACTACTACTACTATTGTAGAGCATATATTGTTGCTGTCAACTCAGCAGAATCAAAACAAATCTAATTTTCTGCTTCTGCAGTCGCTTGGTAGTAAGACTAATTCTAGATAGATTTTTTAGTATTAAGTAATTAATCATTTTAATTCGTTTCAGGTTGAATGCCTATTGGTTGGCCGAAACAGTGTATCTTTCCGGGATTTTGCGCAAGAGGCCTAGAGTCTCAGATTTTTTTCATTCCAGACTGTTTGATATTACATTTTACGTACCGTAAAACGGGATATCTTTAATAATGTCGTTAACTTTGATAGTAGAATATAATGATTGAATGTGCATTTTCCAAATAGCTGAAGCAAAAAAAACAAGTTTCTTGTTTTTGCCTGACACTCAAAAAATCATTTATTAAATGTATTTACAATACATCCAACACAAATTCAATGTTGTCTTCTTATTATTTATGATGTTTCTGATTAAAAACTCATTCAAAGTTTCATAACGCTTTAACTAAATTGTTCAAGGTTCATGCATGTTTTTCTACATTATTCGAATCTTATCAAATTAACCCCTAAACAAAAACGGATATTCGGTCACAAGTCAAAAAATAATGCAAATCCAATAATTTCCGTTGAACATATTACTAACGAATTGACACAGGGATCCTCAGTACTTTTTTGAATAAAATAATATTTGAAAAGCATTAATTGTTGTTAAATATATTTAGAGGGAGCATCAGGAAAAGGGAAGGTGGCTGAAATTTTCAAAACCATCAAACTATCGAAGTTCCCGAAAAAATATCTCGTCTGGCAGGCCATATGCACGTGTGGTCTAAAAAGCGACATTTTCATTACTACGGGCACCATCAATCAAGAGATATACGTCCAGGAGTGCCTGGAAAAGTGGCTTCTACCATTCCTAAAGCAACATAATAGACCTGTGCTGTTCTGGCTGGACTTGGCGAGCTGCCACTATGGGAATAAGGCGATCGAGTGGTACTATGCGAATAACATGGTTGTGGTACCCAAAGACCACAACCCTCCCAACAGCCCAGAACTCCGCCCTATCGAACAGTTTTGGATCTTGGTGAAACGGAATCTAAAAACTAATAAATCCATGGAAAACGAGCTGCACTTTAAATCTAACTGGCGTTCGACGGTGAATAAGGTCGATGAGACCACTGTGCAAAATTTAATGGAAGGGGTTAAGCGGAAGGCACGGCAGTTAGCATTTGGCAAACTAAAAGAATAAACGAACAATTTTTTAGCGTTCCAGTCTTTAAACAAAAATCTATTCAATTTACCCCGTTTTACGGTATTACAATAGTTTTCTATACATTTACTCAAATTTGAAGCAGAACAGGAGCAATATCGTGCCTGTGCCGTCTAGACTATCTGAGAAGCTCTGCAATAATCAAATTGATTCACATTGCACTGCTGAAGCATATTCGTCTACCTCCTGTCCTAATCAATTATTCTTAATACAAGTCTGATCACCCATCTCCCGTCATTGAAGTTTAAATTTTACACCAAGAGAAACGTTGCATCGAACAAAGAATAGAAAGACCCTTTATCGTATCTCTCGTCTCGTATCTGGCAGATATGTCAATGCCCATACGGCTTAACGAGTGCTACGATATCATTAAGTGAACCTTCTTCTACATCGTTCAACGTTGCATGCACTTTTTTCAGCGCTGATATTTTTCGATCTATTTCTCTTCCACTGGCATTTTTTCCTGCATCACATCGAGTTTGCGAACCATATCCCTACGAATGAAAAATGCTGGGCTTTCAAAAAATTGACAGCGCAGAAAATTTTCATTTGATACTGTTCTCCATAAAATTCTTCGACCAAGCTGGAAAGACCTATCCTAGTGAACTATGCACAGCAAGTTTACGATATCAACTCTCGCTATTGAGATTTGATTGAGTGTGCTTCCTTGAGAATAGCAGGCAGCGCAAAATTATACATCGCAAAATTGATCTGCCATCGACTACATCTACCTATACCAATGCAAGTGTACTTCTTATTTCATAATATCATCAAAAGAACCCAGAAAAGTGCACTATCCCAGGACCTCTTTTGAAGTCGTTATTACATTTTGAGGAGACCTGAAAAATAATTTCGGGTTCCAGAAAGAGCTACTCGAAAATTCCTATTGCGTTTGCTCGGTAAAACTTTCTGTCCAAAGTAGAAAGGAAATAATTCTGTTTCTGCTCCATTGTCTCTAGCCGGAAAACACTTTTCCTCAATAGCATATTGCTACAGATCCTTCAACGGAAGAAGCTGTACCAATGATAGGTAGGTCCCTGTAAGTAGCTTTCTGAAACAAAAGGGGTAAGACTATCTCAGTTTACCTCCTCCCCCTACGTAGGAAGATAAGAAATGGAGAAAGATAGTAAACCACCGTCTCTTCCCTTTTTTTTTTGATCGTCCATTCCACAGATCGAAGCAATTTTCTTCTAGTACCTATTTTCCGCTTCGAAGCTGATGCGATTAAAGTAAGATTATCTGCCACAATTTGGAAGTGAAATCATTCGGATTTGTTTTAATTGACAGTTTTATAGTATTTCGACGAAGCAAAATTTTCAAAGCCTTGAGCATTGAAGATGGAATGGAATTGATTTTCCCGACTCCCTCCGGCTGATTCATTAATCGAGATAATTTAAATGCTTACCCCTTGTTGGTCTTGGAGGAAATCGGATTATTCGATTTATACACAAAGAAGCTCAATGTTGGGAAGAGTAACAATGAACACAAATTAAGGAAGTTGGTTTTGCCGTTGATGCTCATTTGTAAGGTACACCTAATAAAATCTGCAGATGAGTCAGATAACTAGCAAGAAACTTTCTACTTTCGATAAGTTGCTGCATGCAACACAACTCATAGAATAAATAATAACTAATACAGTAATGAATCGATTTTATCACACTTCTTTTTGAAAATATTTTCTGGTGTGCTACACTGAGATTGTTATTCCATCAAATTCCATAGTAATATCGTATGATTTTTTGCGACAAGATTTTAGGTTGAATTCCATACGATCAGACTATGAAGAACTGTCAAATTGATTCATACTGCTATCGTATGATTTTCTCGTATACAACTATTAATTTGAATCCAAATTAATTATGGATGTCATGGAACACTACGTTTACATTTGCACGTAATTTAGTTTTCCCACAGATAAACGAGATTTTTTTTTTTATTTTCTTAGTTTATATTAACTCGTATTTGAATTAGTATTTTATAAGTAAACTGTTACATTTACTTACAATTTCTTTAAAAACGTTTTCTGGTTTAAATTTTGATCATGATGCTTTGATCTTTTGGTGTACATCAGACAAAGCAGCTGAGAATACTGAACAAAGTTTGATGGAATCGAAAAACTCGTTCCGTTGGCGTTCGATTTTCATGCAATGGGTCTTCTCGATCAGCTGGTGCAACGGTGCAGTTATGTACAATGTAGAACCAGAAGCATCAGAAGCTAATCTGGAAATATAAAACTAAAGATTTTAAAACATAAATTACTGCTTTGATTCTATAATAAATTAATACTTACATATTCACGAAGTCTTGTGCTACGTCGCATAACTGGATCTGCCATCTTTGTTGTTTTTGTTGTAATTTACACTGACCTAGTACTTTTCATAGATAGTCTTATGAATTTTTGACATATTTTGCGTAAAAGCAATTCATACTATGGGTTTATGAAATTCATTTTATTTCGTGCACCGTTTATTGTATAAAACTATATATGCTATAGATGGAGTATGAATTCATAAGATACCTATGAAATTGGATGGAGCTCGTATTTTTATGTGTCCCTTCAATTTTCATAAGCTGCATCTTATGAAAATTGAAGGGACAGTTTCCTCAGTGTACGAAACTCATGTGCTTTTTCAGTGGTCCTATTGCACCACTTGTTACTGCTATTTAAGCCTGGGGTAGGACGTGCTGTCAAATCAGTTTACTGGTCATTCTTGTATGAAATTGGTTCCAAACGTAAACAAACCCTGTAGGTTTCTTATGGCTTGTTTACGTTTGGAACCAGTTATGTGAGCTAGGCGACGATTGGTCGTATTTGACAGCCACCTCCCCCCTTGATTTAAGCTTCCCTTAGCCCAAACGTGGACGGGAACGCTCCCAGGGTCGTTTTATGCTTTCCCTGTCTTACACTGTAATCGCAGCACAAATAAGAAACATCAAAATTTGAATGAATATTAAAGTCCAGACAAACAGACATAACACATTGAATATTTCTCAATGTAAAACATCATCGCTAAAACATAACCGCCATCTGTTGAGTACACTGTGGTGGGTAGTACGCCGAACAGATGGCGGTAGTGTGTAAACGTCAAACGCAAGGAAATTGACTATGCGCGCCACAGGTGGCAGTACAACCAACTACGATACTTTTAAATTGATCTTTAAATGCTTGTACTATGAACAA